ACAACAACATGAATCATCAATCATCCAATTGATCAATAAAAGAAGAAGAAAAAGATGGAGCTGAGATAACTTGAAAAGGAAGTAAATCCCAAGTTGGATCAAAGGATTAATCAAGTTATCAGCAACACCATTCATCCATTTTGGTGGATTAGGGTTTTCACCCCATCAACACCCAAGATCCAATAAGGTTGATGAAACTTATGATCAAACAAGCTAAGCTCCAAGGCCAGACAATCAACAAAAGTCAATTATCAATTAAAAGGAAATAAAATATTAAAATGCATGTAAAGTATTTTAAATGGAAAAAAGGTAAAATATCAAAGACTAATCAAAACATCTAATAAAATTCAAATGAGATCATAGAAAAATCAGAAATGGTCTATAATATTTTTATAATTTTTTTGGTATATTTATAAATAGGAAACTATTTTTTAAACTAACAAAAAATCAAGAAAACAAATAAAAATGATAAAAAAATAGAAGAAAAAGAAGCAAAAATAAAATCCTGGAAAAAATACACAGTCAGAAATAATGAAAAATATTTTTAGGAATTGTTTCAATATTTTTGGAATTAAAATGAAAGGGTTATGTATTTTTAAAGTTTAAATAAAAAAATTAAAATAAAATAAAAGGCTGAAAAATCCTAAGGCATTGGATCCATTTCATTAATCTGAGGTGTCAGATCTAAAGGCCATTAATGCATGGAACACCATAGAATTGAGTCAATGAATGCACATGAGATTAGGAAAGGTCAAGCCAATGGAAACATTTCATTTGGCACGCATTCATTAGTTGGATGATCCACATAATCATCTTCAACCTCCAACCCTAAACAATTATTCGAAATTAGTTCAAAAATCGTGAATCTCCAAATGGAAACAAGGGAGGTTGAGATTTCTATCAATGGATTCGTCTCTTCATTGTCATCTTAACCATGTGATTCACGTAAATTTATTTAAACTGAGCTCAACACAATTTGAAGAAAATCAGAAGAAGTTTGAAAACTAAATTTGAAATTAAATGCTCAAATCAAAATGAAAACAAAATCTAAAAGAAGCATGAGCTTCAAAAGATCAAAGATTACATCTTAGCAATTTATTTGAAGCACTTTGGTGTTGATTTGTACCTGGACGAAGTATGGTGATTTCCTTATGAAAATGGACTTGGTTAGGGATATTTAGGACACCACAAGGCTTGGTTTCAATTGTGTTAGCTTCAGTGAAGATCAAGGAAGCTCAATGGATAGAAAATTTGGATGTAGAAGCTCTGGAAATATGAAATCAAAGCGGGAGAATTTGAGTATTTGGAGTGAGTTTGGCATAACTACTTTGGCGATCAAAACATTATGAAATGAATGAGGATGAGTCTCTCTTTATAGGAGAAGTAAATGGAATGTTGAGGAGTGTGAAAGGATCATCTATGATGCAAAATCGTGTGCACCCTTGAAGCATGAAAAGTGTGAATTGGTGCACCTCAAAAGTCACCTCAAATCTATGTTTTAGGTGTCAATTAACTTCAGTGAACTTGGTAAGCATGATTATATGGAAAATCATGTGGTAATTAGGCTTGTAATTGCATTTTAGTTGAGGTGAAAATCTGATCATGATGCAAGAATGCAGTTTCATGAGGACATGTTCACACCATTGGGGTATATTGTACAAGAGGCTTTTTTATTCCATTAATTTTGCAATGTGTAGACATCATCACAAAGATCATAATATTCCAAGAAAGGTTTAATTTGGATGATTGTGTCAAAATTTATGGCGTGTTACAGTTGGAAAAAAATTCTAATGGTGCAAACTTGAAAAATTCTAAATTAAAATGACCTATAATGACCTGTAATGTAGTAATGAATTACATGGTCTTCAAAGCAAAATTCGAACTTGACCATTGAAGAGAACTTGTAGAGGGAATCCAGGAGAGTATTATGCAAAAATAATAAGCCTCAAATGATGAAAATTGAAAAAATTATGATTCTTGAAAGTTGGGCAAAATTCACTTGAAATTAGGGCGAAATTTTCTAAGTCCACAAGATGACCTATAATGTATCCAAACTGTTGATGATCTTCCAAACATAATTGACTCTTGACTTGTAAAGATAAGTTGGAGAGGATGTAAAGGAGATTAATTTTCCCAAAGGATAACTAAAAAATGTTAAAAATTGAAGGAGTTATGGTCTTTTGAACTTGAACTTGGAAATGTTGACTTTTTGGTCAAATCCACTTTGAATCAACTTGCTAGTTGATATTTTCTTGAAATTCAAATAATTATAATTCACATATGAACTTATAATGATGAATTCTTCATTTATCTTTGATTAAACATGGAAACACTTGAGGTTTCTTAATTATGAAGTCATGGAAATAAACACATGAACTTTTGACTTTTCTTGACAAATAAGCAATCAACCTTGGGGAACTCTTGATTAATTGATATTGAATGATGTTTGAAGATGATATGACCTAATATTATAGGACAATCCTTAATGCACAAGCCCTTGAGAATCCATGTTCACCATATTTTGACTTTGATCAGATGAAAACCTAGTTGAAGGAACTTGTTTGATCCACTTGGTTCATACTTGTCCTTGCAAAATAAACAAATAGAAACAAGACATATTTTTGTATTTTTATTAGTAGTTAGTAAGACATAAAACATGTATACACAAATGTACAAGATTCACAATATGGTACTTGGTGATCCCTCAAAGGCAAGTTTAAATAAGGAAGAGCGAGTAAAGGTTAAGAGGCAACTCAAGGTTATGGTCTTGATGTGTTGCAAAGATGCAAAATGATAGGGGATCTTAGGGGTAAAAATTTGGGTATAACAAGATAATGATGAAAAATGTGATTCGTAAACTTCATAAATACACCAGGTGCATTAGACACTCTGGAAGGCATCACTGAATATTCGTAATGATCATATAAAGTTCTAAATGCTATCTTCTAAATATCTTCATCCTTAACTCGGATCTGATGGAAACCTGACCTCAAACCAATTTTTCTAAACACACAAGCTCCTACCAGCTAGTCCATTAAATTCTTGATTCTCGGAAGTGAATACTTATTCTTAATCGTCACTTTATTGTACTGTCGATAATCAACACATAATCACATACTACCATGCTTCTTCTTTACCAACAAAACTAGAGCTCCCCAAGATGACCCAGTTGGTCTAATAAATTTATTTTCAAGTAAGTTTCCCAACTGATTCTTCAGTTCTCCCAACTCTGATGCTGACATTCTGTATGGTGCCATAAAAACAGGTCTAGTACCAGAAGCAAGATCAATAGCAAACTCCACCTCTATCTCTGGAGGTAAATATGGAATATCATCTAGAAACACCTATGGAAATTCTCATACCACTGGTAACCCTTCAACCACAGTTTGACTCTCAACAGACAAGGAAGAAAACATTGCAAAGCTGTAGCTTCATCTTTCAACAACTCTTCTAATTGACTATCAGATATGAAACTAGCTTCTTCTTCATCATTAAGAGCAAGAAATCGTACTGACTTGTTGTAGCAATTTATATGAACATGGTTGAATTCCAGCCAGGTCATCCCCAAAATGACATCAAGATCACTTAGTGGAAAACAAATTAAGTCCACACTAAAGAAGAAGTAGTCACCGACCCATTAGCTGGAGTATCGGTAACTAGTCCACGACTCAAAGTAGACACTAGAAGACCCAATATTTTCACATAATCAGTAGAAACAAATGAGTGCATCACACTCGTGTCAATAATTGTAATCAAAGAAATGTTGTAAATGTAACATGTACCTCAAATCAACATGTTGAAACTGGTAGTCTATGATCCCGCCAATGCAAAGACTTTCCCTCAAGATCGAGCTTTCTTTAGATTTAGACAGTTGGTGTTGATGTGACCAGGTTCCCCACAGTTGTAACAACTTAGCACATTAGTCTTGCAATCAGCAATAAGGTGTCTTGGCTTCCCAAACTTGAAGCACTTCTTTTCATCACTCTTGTATTCATTCACACTTGAAGCACTTCTTTAATAGATAATATATTTTACCACAATTGATATAGAGAACCGTGGTGGAATGCCATAATATTTAACTATGGTTGTTAATATGGAACGGGGTGAAAAATATTTAATTTTTATTTAAAAATAGAAATTAAGGAAGTACACTCATTTTTTTAAGAAAAAAAACATAAAATTGCAGGTGTGGGAATTTAAAGTGTGTTAATGCTTCACATATAACAATAATTGTTTAAATGAACCACTTATATATGAATATAAATAAAAAAAGACGCCTAATGAATATATATATATATATATATATATATATATATATATATATATATATATATATATATATATATATATATATATATATATATATATATATAACTTCGGCTGATTAAGTGACGTAGTAAAAAATTGTTACGAAATGTGTTTTTTTTTTGGTAGTAGTGTATCAAGCTAAGATGTAATGGAGCTAACAATCAACAATGAGTAAGACGGTGAGAGAGACAATTTCAATAAGCAACATAGGTGAAGACGAATTCGTCGTGGTGATAGTGAAGACGAACTCGATGAATAAATATATAAATACAAATTATAGCATTTGCGATGTTTTTCTTTTTAGGAGTCAAGGGTATAAATGAGGCTTTTAGACAATTGAAATTTTTTAAGTTTTTTGGGTTATTATATAAATTGATCTATAACGATGAAGGGTGATGTGTCATGTGTCATTTTTACATCATAAAAATAGATGATTTATTTTAATGAAGGGTCAAAATGAAAAAAAAATCTTTATAATAAAAATGCAAAATCTATTTATATTTTCGAATGTATTCACAAACTCATCCCAAATTACTTAAACATTAACCATTTTTATTAACGTTATATAATCACATCACGAGCTTTCAAATATATACATGATAATAATTTGTGGGGTGCCACTTTATGTAGAAGGAAATAGTGAAGTAAATTAACAATAATAGCAACATTTAAAAAATTAAAATCATCATGAATCATAATAAGTTGGAAGAGGAATGCCACTGAAAGAAGCTTTGGAGGGTAGCAACATCAGCTCTGTAGTGTTTCTGTGTGAATTCAAACAAACTAGCCCATGTGAAATCAGGGTACTTTCTTGCTTCATTTTTGCTTAACAAACTTTCTAATGGTTTCACAACCTTGTCTTTTCTTGGACACACAAAGAAAACCAATGATTTTCTTACTATATATTTGTTCACCAATGCTCTATGCAGACAACTCTTGTATCTCCCATTTGATAACGCCTGAATATCAACACAAAAAACCAATATTAATCTCAACAAAATATTTAGTGACAGCTAAAATCCGTAGGTATAGATCACATTTACTTACGGTAATACGTCGTCACTAGAAACTAAAATAATTTAAAATAAGTTTACTTACCATGAAAGTATCACCTATGTTTATGACTAAGGCTTCAGATCTAGGGCGAACAGAAAGCCATTTTTTATTTGCAAAAACTTGTAAACCTCCAACTTGATCTTGATGAAGAATAGTCAATGAAGTAGGGTCAGAGTGAGGACCTGTACCAAAGGTGAGACCTGAACTTTTGCAAGGTGGATAATAGTTACACCTCATTATTGAGTCACCATCTTGAAAAAATCTTCGATAATGCAAACGATCTATCCCCAAACTAATGGCCAATAGCTCCATAACTACTAAAGATAATTCACTCATTGCTGCACAGTACTTTTCATACACCAATCTATCACATCATGAAGCTAAAATCAAAACCATGTACATTATATATATATATATATATATATATATATATATATATATATATATATATATATATATATATATATATATATATATATATATATATATATATATATATATATATATATATATATATATATATATATATATATATATATATATATATATATATATATATATATATATATATATATATATATATATATATATATATATATATATATATATATATATATATATATATATATATATCAGCCGGGCAATATAGTTACTTGTCCTTGTTATAGTACTTGCTGTGTCGACTATGTCACATTGATGTTTGTTTGATTTGGATTGTATTGTCTAAAGTATAAAGGTTATTTTTACATAAATAAAATCAAAATTTGATCATTTTTTTATACTATTTAATGTCAATCAAACAATTATATTAATCTTGACTATAAGAGGAAACATGTGTAGGTCACCCATATATAGATATATCATGAAAAAATGAAAGATAATTAAAAATTTAAATGCTTTAATTTTATAATTAAAATTTAAAAAGTAAAAAACTATTTTTTTTTTCATTTCCACTAAAACATTCATACATTTTTTTTAATGAATCGCTTGATTTGGAATCCATAATATTTTTACATTCTTTTTAAATCAATTAATAGATTCAAATGCGATAATTGAAATGGATGAGAACTTCGGGTTTTATGTGACACAAAATTATTATAAATTGAAGTAAATATTTTATCGGATTGTGATAAAATCTATGATATTGAATGAGATTGAATATTGGACTGTTAGAAATCATCACAAGAATAAAGTAATGGCAGAAGACATGAATCTTTTGTATTGGATGTGTGATAAAACTAGATAGACATACTAAAATTAGAAATGACAATATTAAAGTGTTGAGATAAAATCTATAGTAAAAAAGATGGTGAAAATAGATTTAGATAGTCGATCATGTAGAAAGAAGATATGTAAATTCTGAGGTTAGAGGAGCAGTTTTGATAGAGAATAGTCAAACAACTAGAAATAAATGAAGACTAGAAAAATAATAAGAAAAATTATTAAGAAAGATTTCAAAATTAATGATTTGAATAGAAATATGATTCTACATAGAAAATTCTGAGAGAAGTTAATCTAAATAGTCGACCAAACTTAATGAGATGAGACTTAATTGTTGTATTACTAAATTAACTACACTAGTTTAAAGTTAATCGCACTATTTAAATTGATTTAAGTGAGTTTATTTAATGATAATATTTTTGAGAAACTCTTTGGATGAATTAATAAAAAAAAATTATATATTGTTCATAGGTAAATAAGATAAGATGTTTATTCAAAAAGAACATAAATGTCTTATAAGTGGGTCAGTTCAAACAAAATAATGTGACAAAAGTGGACCATGCATATTAAAATCAATTAATGTCGACCTTACCCTGTGTTTTGAAAGTCTTCTCCTAAGACAGATTTGAAGTAGTTAACAATTTGAGAGTTTAAGCTGTTTTGATGATTGTATACAAAAGAGAATGTCTCTTTCCATGGTAACTTAGAAGAGTATCTATCTGCATGAGCACCTGAGTATCCAGAGATTCCACCAGCTACCCTCTTAGCACTCAACTTCCTGCTAATAGGTTGCTTGAAAATGGAATCAGTTTCACAATAAGCATCATTGATAAGATCTTGTTCCACACCATGATTTATCACTTGGAAAAAACCATGATCCATGCATGCTTTTCTAACAAGCTCTGCAGCACTTGCAATAGCTTTTTCATCACCACCTTTCATGATACTTAGGTCTATGAGAGGTTCTTTTAGTTCTTCTTGGGTTGTGTCTAAATCTGTAGATGGCCAAATGAACTCTTTTGGCATGTTCACTTGTTTTTGTAGCATATTTGAGTCAAATAAAGAAATCATATTTTCTTTTTTGGGTTCCTCTATTTGTGATGAAGGGTAAAGAACAAGAGTTGATGAAGTGTTTGAGTTCATTAGAGGAGCCATTTGCATGTAAGAAAAGAATTGAAGGAGACTCTATATATAGCTAACAGGGAAGGAAGAAAGGTAAAAAATCAATTGATTAATATTTAAGTATAATAAAGTTGATAAACAAACAATAAAGTTCTATAGCTCAAGAGGAATGTTTTAAAAATGATATTAAATTGTCTATTCAACTGGTTGGACCGGGAACCAGAGGTGATTTCAATTTGGTCAGTTTTGTAAAATTGCAGGTGGGTTAAAATTGGAGTAAAATCGAAAAAATTCAGTTGAACCACTCAAAATTGTTCGAACTAAAGAACTGGAGACAATTTTGTAAAACGTCCGATTTAAAGAAATGCTCGCCATTGACCAATTTTAGTATTTTTTTATAAATAAATTGAAAATAATTATTGTGTTAGCATCAATACTTAAAATATTTTCCTTTTACAAAAAAGAAAGTCTTTTGTAACACAAAAGGGCAACACAAATTTTTAAGTTATAACACTATGTTGTAGTTTTGTTTCTTTTAGTGTACCATTATATTGTGTAATTATATTTATCATTATTCTTATAGTATTAAGTTTGTAATAGATTTTTAAAATTAATTATTTTGTTAATCTGTGAACATATGACTATGTGACTTATCT